GGTTAAGCGATGGTGCATATCTACTGATCTAGTGCGTTTTATCTGCACAATGTTTTAAACAATGAAAGCCGTAAAATTTGATGTACTGCAAACGCTGTAAAGTACTGTGTTATGGTACTAACGTCTACAAGCGATACATTTAGTTCCTAGCTTATCTGTATTAGGTCTACTTTGATAAGTCGTATTTTTCATGTTTTTTATTGCACCGTTACTGTAAAAAGCTAATGTTTAGCATGTGCCTGCCTTCAGGGGCACTTAGATAAATGTAATTTCAATAAAAGAATGTTAAATCTGCATCGGTGTTTATTTCGGGAACATCAGAATGTTTGTACACCCTTCTCCAAGTCCAGATTTCATAGTATATTGTACCGCCCAATTGTTCCTAATCGCTTGGGGACAGTTAGGCAGGCGACGGGTCCATGGTATTAGAATAATAATACTAGGGGCAACTGGCATTGCAGTGACTCAAATATTACGAAGCGATGACTTGCGTAAATGGCTTCTTTTGGCAACTAGATTCAAGGGCACAATTCACTACGCCGTGAAATCAAGTCTTGAAGGAGTTATGCTTTTATATAACCCGTTTATTACAGACTTTCATGTCTTCACAGTATGGCTGTGGCTATCGATTTCAGTTAAGGTTAGACTACGATGGCCAGCTTTTGATCCTATAGTTTCTTAAGCAATGAATTAATGCTTTTATCATAATTATCACGAGTGATTTTATCGATGAATAAAAAGAGGCATTAGTCCAATCGAAAAGTTTCAGACGGCACTTATTCTTTCGGATCGCGAAGTTGGCTGCGTCAGACGTTGTCATCACTTCATGAATTGCCGCTCATGTCTGATATATCGTGTATATTACTTGTACAATAGCCATTGTAGCAAGTAACCTACTGTTTCCTTGACACGTTATTGTACTCAGTCATTTACGTCCAGCACATGAAACGCGTGTGACCCAATTGGCTTTAAAACTGCCGCTTTTCTATTCGAAGCTGACCGGTCGAGATACCGTAATTTTTAAAGGCAAAGGCTTGGAGTGGATTAGCGGAGAACAGCTGTTTTGTATATATCTCACTCATAATTAACTTTTGCCTGAGTTTCAACATTTTCTGTATGTAATTGAATTTTTCTTTAGGATCCTGTCTTGTACCGTTATGATATGCGAAGGATTAAGAAAAATCTGAATTTGTCCAGGATGAAGATGATAGCATTTGCCCTGTTAGCCGGATGCGACTACTGTCCGGAAGGTGTGCCAAGCATCGGCAAAGAGAAAGCATTCCAGTATTTACGAGAACTTCCCGATGACGTGGATATCTTAAAAAGGTTCGTTAAGATCGTTATTTTGTCGTTATATTACTTATTCTCTTCATAGGCTTCGAAATATTGCTACTCTGAAGGAAGAAAATGCCAGTGATGGCGAATTAAACGAAACAACTTCAAAATTTGAGAAATTGATCGCCTCACACATTAAAATGCTTAAGAACTTTCCTGACAAGGCGGTAAGAAAATTATTTATTTTAAACAAATTTTGGTTTTCTATACATGAATTTATTTTTGAAGAATTTCATTGGATAATCAGAAAATGCTAGCGCAAAGTTCTAATCTGATATCACATGAGAGGTCGTCTGATTTCTTGTAAAAAATCTTTTGACAGCATCTATTGGCCATTTTCGCACTTGGCGGAGGGAAACAGAAAGAGGGGGAAAATATTGATTATTAGAAACTAAGTCAAAATATTTCAAGTAAAATTTTTCCATCGTTGAAAAGAAGGAAAGTTTGTAACCGTTGCATAACAGGGGAGAAGCATTTCTATCATCTTTCTTTTAATGCATTTAATAGTTGAGCAATGGTCTCCATTTTCATGCCATTAACCAGGAATGTCCTGTTATATAACTTGCCTAAAGTACAGTCCATTGTTTTTTATCAACGTCAAAAGGAAGAATGGCGATTGACCTGGCCAGGGTTAGAATCGAGGATTTCTCGATTTTTACCGAGGTAAATCATAATGTCAGTTTGTTGTCCAACTCAGCGGATGCTTGTAAAGCAGCATTTATATCTCAAACGACTGTATTTAATATTTTCAGCTCTGTAATTATGTCTTGAAATAATATACTATTACAGATAATCGATGAATTTCTTCGACCAAGAACGTGTCCAAATGTAGAGATAGGCTCCTGGTACATGCCTTCTTTCCGCTCCTTTCACGTAAGAATATGACTTAAGACGTTCGTTTATAAAAGGCAAAGTTTTCAAGAGCTTCATGATTCGTAAAGCTCAGTGGACGTCAGAATACATAATCAGCAAAATTTTTCCGTTGATCACCTTTTGGTATCTCAACTATGGGACGAAACTTGGTTTATTCATTGGCGAACAGCCGAAAATCAAAGGGTATGTGATGTTTTGGTTTAGGATTGTTAATTTACGGTGTCCTTTCATTTTAGGATTTTTCGACAACGGGTGCGAAACGGAGTGCCTTGCTATGAGGTTCAGTGGGAAAGGCTGGGTGAGAAAATAAACATCGACTAACGCCTTTAGTTATCTTAATGATCCGTCATTCTAGATGAAGACGTTTGGACGCAGAAGGAGTTTTACCTGACAATCGAGGAAAAAGAGACAATCGACAAAACATTTCCTCATCTTCGTCTGGCCTACCTTGAACGTGTGGAACATGCGAAAGCAGAGAGAAAAATCCAAGTTGAGTTTGATATTATGCATTCAAGGGCGAAGAAAGATAGATAACTCTGGAGCACTGAGGTAGTACGTGACGATCAGTCACATTATGCAAGGATCTTCTGAAGTCCACTGTTTGCCGGAAGGCTCCAGCTTCAGACTCATCATCCATAAAAGTGAATAGACGACAAAGAACTACTATAGTATTCAGTGGGTGTACAACTGAAGATATAAAAGATTTAACCGATTTTGTCTAGTAAGTTTGAGGTCTCGAAGCTCTTAGTACTGATTGCAAATGTGGAGATAGTCGTCATCAGACAGACACCTGACCTGCAGTCTTCCGGCTCTGACGAAGTTTGTGATTTGTCAGTCTCTGTTAACTGATTTCAATCATTAGATCAGAAGTACTGTACTTTCAACACAAGAAAAGTAACTTTGAAGGCGGGATCTAACGTAATCAAAGAACGAACCTTTCAAATGAGGCAACCGTAGAAACCGAGTTTTACGTCTGATTGCATTAACTGCTGCCTCGTTGCTCCTGCAATTTTCATTAGAGTTGAACTACGCAGTTGTATTGTTTCTTCGAAAGTATTATACCTCATGTTTAGGCGCAAGAAAGAATAGAGAACGCAGAGAAAAAGGGAAACAAATACTCCAAGATGAAGAAGGCAAAAAAGCTGAAGAGGAAAGCAGCGAGGTTGCGAAATTGCTCGATTCAACCATGGTGTTGTTTTCTGAATCTGAAGACGAGTTGGATAACCATACGAGTGCTATATCTGATGGTGACATAGAGAGTAAATTTGTCGCTGGCCTTTCAGCTAATCTTCAGCGTCTCTCTTTTACGGGGTCTAGCCCTGCGATAAGCAAAAGACAGCCAACTCTCGCTGAAAGAGCCCCTACAAAATTGACCTGGACAAAACCGAAAAGTCCGCAGTCCAGCGCTGAAAAAAGTCCATTACCATTGGCTCAGCGACTGTTAAGGAAGAATCCCACCTTCAGACGTTGCTCTCTGTTGAAGTTTCGTTGATTTTCTGCTGGTATTTTTTATTTTTAAATGCAGATTATTCTTTAAACTTTTACTTAACCGTTTGTATGTATATTACTTGTTTATTTTTCATGATTATGCTAAAGTTGTTTTAGGTGACGACCACTGTTAAAATTTAATCTGTATCATTATGTTTGTTAGGTCGATTACTGGTATCGTTTTTACTAATTGAAATTAATGCGTATTTAGGGCCACTGAGGAGTAGCCCGTGCTGTCTTTATATCTCATTGAACGCGTTTGAATCAGAAATTTCACTAATCGAAGTGCAGCTTTTTGTGAATGCATACAATAATCTTTCCACCCATTCCCGTCATTTACATGCAGCCAATACACGTTTACCTATGCCTACTGTATGCGCTTAGGATGACAGCCGGGTAGAGCGAAAGGTTCAGAAAAAACTTGATAATGTGTTCTCAAAGTCAGCTCTCTTTGAAACAAACTGTCGAACAGCATTGATGGCGATCAAATAGTAGGATTGTCAGCCATGGATAAATGTGGTTGAATGCATCTTAATCGCTTGGGTTTCCTTAAGGCCTTTTGTGACCAATCAGTGGTATGCAGGAATTTCTGTGCTCTGCGCCTGTAAAATAATTCTACATAGAAAAGGAGAGCAACTTGATATACTAGAAAGACAGATGATTTGATCAACCTTCTATATTAACTAAAATTGCAGTGAAATATTAAAATTTCTGGCGCCTGCGGGACAGTGAATGCTTGATTCTGGTACTGTCCCAAAAGAGCTCCAAGTAGTAATGAACGAATATGTGCAGTTTGAAAACGTTAGGTACAGGCCACTGAACGTTTGTTTGTAGTTTTTGTTGTTTCTTTAATGTTTTTGTTGCAATTGCCGGTTGCGTAGGCAGATTGTCTGATTTGTAATATGCGCTGTATTAACAGTTTTGCAATATTTGCCAAGAGGCACAGGTTGCTTCACTGTAGAAGAAAATATTCCCCTCTTAAAGCAGATCAACTTCAACCTTGTTCCTCCATCTTGCTGGGTTCTTGGTCGACATCCACCGTGTTTCAGTAACGCAAGAGAATCTCGGCTGATTGAAGCAAATGGTGTATGTTCAATCAGTTTGTCTAATAAGGCAAACTTCCTTTTCTTTGGCCCCACATCTACCGATGTCACCTATCATCAGATTAGAGTCATTCTTTACATGGTCCGGAAAGTGAACCCTCAATATCCGTCGAAGCCCACGGTGCTCTGCACAGTTAAACCGTCATTCTTGGTCTTCCCTAGACCAGCTGCTCGTGCGTTATGTAAAAACAGTCACGTGTCGATTTTTATGGAAGTAATTATTCCTTTTTAAGGCCAATTATTGAACAGTTTACGAAAGCAGTCAGGTTGGGGCGATCCTCCCATTTAACTCCTGACTGGATGAATTCGTCACTTGAGATAGTGGATGTGGCTGAGGTTCTTATATTGGTCAACCTCCTGGAACTTTTCAATTCACCGTTCAGCTTATATATCAGCTGTGCCGGACATATTCCTCAACTTTTGATTTCGGGGCATTAAAGAAGAGGTGGGCTTCCGCACTCGTCAGGTTATACAACTTCAACTCAGCGGGATAACATCGTCTGTATAATGCAGGTCAGTAACATCTTGAACTGTGGCTTCCATTTAACAAGAAACCTTCATCCTTGCTACGGTCAGCACTGTTTCGAATAAGAAAGTTGTTAGTCAAGTTGAATCACGAAAATGGGGCTAAGCGTTCCGGATGACTGATTGTTTGGTAGGGAATCACTCAGGCAATAATCCTTAGACTTTAGCAGAGAAAATTCTTGCTGCATACATTTCTTTCAAATCAGAAGTGTTGCCTTGAGAAATCTCATTTCAAAATTTTCCACGTCATTACATGACGTACACTGTACGTCGTACTGGGTCAAAGGCAACATCGAGTCGAGAAAAGTGGCAAAGTCAGGAAATGAACCATCTGCATTTTCCAATGATTCTAGATTCTATGGTCGTAACGGAACTTCTGAAATTCATCGTGTTACATCGACCTCATTCGTGCTTGCTTAGATGATGACAGGCTAAATATGACGACTCAGCGCGACTAATCGAATGATACTATTGGCGTGGTATCACACTATTGTAAGCTCTCGCTAAAATTTTTCTTTTATAATTCTGAAAAGGCCGAGACAGAGTTGATAACAAACCGCCAAAATCTAGCAGGCATCCGGATGGTGTATTTATGTCCTGTCCAAATAATGACGCATAGAATCGTTGAACAATGCCGACGTTCCAGTTGTCCTGGTTTGCTAAGTTCTTCGACTTTAAGGCTGCGCCCGACGATGTGGAAAGTCTTCAACTTGTGAGATGCCTGAGCATCATTTCCATTTTGAGAGAAGTGTGTGCAGAAACCATGTGTGCTGTCAGAGTTGAAGGGGATCTATCTGAATGGTTCCCTATTAGCTACTGAGTTCGCCAAGGAGATGTATCTCTGTTACTCAACATTTTTCTCCTGACATAGACGAAGGTCACGTTCTAAGGGGAAGGCGCATTTCAAGGTGTCCGACTAGATATTTTTCTGAGATGGAGTACGCAGACGATATAGTTCTGAAGAATAGTACGGGAAATGGGCTCTGTCACGATACTGTTTCCGTATACAGCATGACTGCGAAAGCTATCTTCTTCTTTAACGCCCGGAAGTCAAAAATTATGAGGCCCATCCGGCACAGGTGACCTACAAGTAGAACATAAAAGTGAAGTACTTCAGGAGGTTGACCAATTTAATTATCTCCACAATATCATCTTCAGCCACTTCATGGCACTATCCAACCAGATTTAAATGTAAGGATTCCTAGCTTTGAGTCCTTTCAGTAACAGCTTTCCTGATCAA